AAACTGGAGAGTTGGACTCAAATTGACAAAGAAAGATTCAATAAGGCAGGTATAAAATGTTTGAGTCAGCAAAGCAGGGAGGTGTTTACTCTTTTAAATATTCTTTAACCTGTTGTTGGCAAATTTGAGTCAACTGTGCAGTGAATTGTGTTGGAGGTGATGGGGAAATGGATGCTCAGGTGCAACTGTTGGTGTGTCTCTTAGCTGAGCCATTGGGGTGTTTGGGGTGCGGAAGCTGGAGCCTGACATCCCCGTCATGCAGGAGACAGCCTTGAGGTCCCCTTGCTAGGCGAAGGGTGTTTTGGATGGATTGGTTTGAATGCGTCCTGCTGATGCTGCTGTCTCCTGCACTGAGGCCATCCGTTAGATTGGGGAGAGGAGTTCATATGGCTTGAAACTGAAATAATTCAGCTTATGGCCAGGTTACTGTGTTAGTGAGTCGTATGCCTTGTTTCCGTGACCCTTGCTATAGATTATGTGTAGTGGATCAACCTGAGCAGGATACAAGCATGCCTGTGGGTCAGCATCCCTGCAAGGGCTCAGAAGAGGTGGTGAGCTTTGCAGGAGAGCCTGCCGAGCTGTAGAGACAAACAGCACAGCGGTGCTATCCGTATTCCGAGGCGGTGGCTCGAAGCGCTGTGGTGGACGAGCAAGTTCTCCAGAGAGGCGTGTTGGTTGTGTGGGTTCAGATCCCCCTTGGGCAGAACAGGAGTTTGGATCCAGGTACTTCATATCCGGAGTGAGCATTGCTGCTACTCGTCTTCTGCAGCAGCCTGTCTCCTCCAGCTACTGCCGGCTCGTGAATGGTGTCTGAGTCAGCCCTATCCAGCTGTTTTTTATTAAAAATGGCTGTAGTGGAACAAGCCCACGATTTAACCGGAATGAGCAAACCAACAGTTTTTGTATGTTATTTGGGACATGTTAACATCTGGGATTTTTTGTTGTTGGTGGTGGTGACTCTCATGGGCTTTGGTTTCTTGGTCTGCCTGGGTTTTTTTGATTGTTTTAATCCATCCAGTGAAGTCATGTGAAACAATCCATAGATCCTTATGGATAAATTGCTGCAATAAAATGCAGCCCTTTAGCCAAAACTAGTTGGACTCTGTTCTAACTCCTGCTTTGTTTAGCAAGGCACTGTACATAGCCATAAAAATTGCTGTCCTGCCAAGTCCTTTCCTTGTACATATGTACGCACACACTCTTTGTGAGTGCCATCGGCTCTACTACTCTCCAGCTGCCTTCTACATTGGACCCACCTCTTGTACAGGAAAAATGTCCTTTTGACATTTGTATATATGTATTAAAAAGTATTAGGAGATTAGTGTCAGGTGCAACCACAGTAGATAAATTTAGCCTAAACTCTGTAGAGTAATCAGACTTGTTTTACACTATGCAGTTTGTTTCCAACTCAAGTTGGAGAGCTCTGAGCAATAAAATTGATGAAAGGTTTGGAAAAATCATACTGTTGAGAAAAAGCTAGCCAAGGTGTGTTTGCGCAGAGAGGAGTGTTACTCTCATGATAAAGGGATGCTGCGATGAGACAGCTGTCATGAAGGCACAGTCCTAAACGAGGATGAGCAGTAGCGAAATGCAGTTGCAGCAGGGAAGGTGCAAACTGAGATTAGGGTGGTTGAAGAAATAGCCAGGGGAGGCTGCAAAACTGGAATTGCTTAGAGGAGAAAAAATTAGGGTGAGATCAGATGTCTACGTCAGCCTGTCAACCGGCTCAGGACTGGAGGCTTCACCTCTAACATCTTCTAGCCCAACGATCTCGTTGTGTAGACAGAGACTAGATCCAGCTTGGTAATGCTTCCTCTTGTTGGTTTGGATATCCTGTGTGTCATCCCTGTGCAGCACTAACTAGGCGTGGAAATTCCTTCTTTACAAGAAATGTGTACAGTTACTGGTAATCCTAATAAAGGCATGCAGTGGGAATCATAGACAAAGACATATTAGTGTGAGTCACGAAGAGACTCACTCATGTTTGCAAAAGCTCTGCAATAAAGGTGCTTTTAAAGTAGTCTCTCTATTGTGCTGCATGTGTGTGGCTATAGTTTGGGGGTTTTAGCCATTTAGTAATTTATTTTTAGTGACCTTGGGGTCACTGGATGTACCTTCTGCATGACTCTTTTTTTCCTTTTTTTTTCCTATGAAAATGAGATTTGATAGTCTAATGTAGCTTAGCACATCCCTAGCAGCTTGCTGCTGTTGACATTACAGCACTGTGGTCTTATTTTTTGGCCAAAATTATTATCTGTGGAGTTTCAGCTTAGCAAGCTGTTTGTTTGTGCAATAATCTACCTTGGTGTCTGTCCTTGTGTGGGCTTCTAGTGTACAGCTTTGCTGAGCCTAATTCGGTATAGATCTGCATCCTTGTTGCCTGTGGGGATGCTGATACATTGATCATTGCAGCACTTCTCTGATTTTGAGCAGGTCCTGTTTTGGAAAGCTGAGGCATGGGCCATGTCCATGCAGGAAAGCGATACTGAGCTGACAAGGATTTGATCTTCTTGCAGGGAGATCAAATGAATCACTACATGGTCATGCAGTCTGGAAAAGAAGTGGGGGGCAAAAAGCCCAGGCAGCAGAAGTCAGGTCGTTCAAGGGCTGGGGAAGACGATGCTTTGGTTTGACCACTGTGGGAAGGCTTTGCTCATTTCAAAACGCCATTCAAAATGTTGAAAATTTCTGTTCCTTGGTTTCAGCTCAGGGTCTGTATTTGATTTATTTTAAAGCTGGTCATGTGCTTAAGGTTATGCTTAAACTTAATCCTCATGACTAAAAATGGTCTTGGAGCTGTGTGTGAGCATCTGGTGCAGAAGTGCTGGCTGTTAGTGGCCCTGGTGCGTTTCTCTGTCCTGCCAGGCTGGCTGTATGGCTGTGCTGTCCCAGGGATGGGAAAACGAACAGTGATAACTGACCAGAAAGTGAGAAACAGACTTTTCAGTTAATACTTGTAAACTGTAGATGAGTGTGACAATTACCGTATGCAAGAAAAGTCTCTTTTGTCCATAGTTATTAATTATTGGTATTATGCTATTAACACTTCATATCTGGATGACATAAACATCAGAAAAATTATGACTGTCATGGTCAAAGGGTATTTTGTGCACTAAGCGTGATAAATAAAAACCCCAAAAGAACTAAAAAAGCGTCCAGTGGTGTGGAAAACAAAACTCTGGGCTAGGCTGGAAGTCATTGTTTCACTTTCTCTTCTGAAACTGCTTCCTCCCAAAGAACAAGGAGGAGTAGCCCTGGCTGCTGGTTTTGCTTTACTCGTTTCTTCTCCCCACCCCACGGGTGTTGCTTCTTTGATTGTGTCCTGTGTGCTTGGAAGATCATTGCACAAAGCAGTTCCTAGCCTGTCTTTTTCTTTTTTCTTTTTTTTTTTTTTCCTTGGGAAAACCCAGATCAAAAACTTCTGCAAAAGCATTTCTAAGGCAGAAATGCAGACGTGGGGTAGTCCCAGCCATTGGAAGAGGCAAGGGAATTCAGTGTAGGCTCTCAGGTCAGAGGACTGTCCTGTCACTTAAAAGCTGTAGGAAAGTTACTCAGTGACCAGGTTTTCACTAATGGTGTTAGAGGGTTGGTAAACTCGTCATTACAAGTACGTGCAAAAATTTGGCAAGCCTCGTGGTGTTTGAGGTTTTCATTTAAAGCCTTTGATCCTGGAGGTGAATAGGTAAGGCAGTTTCAAGGGCTTGCTAAATCTTTTGACTCCAAGGTTGTGTAGAAAAGCAGGAAAGGCTGGAAAAAGGCTGAAGACCAACAAAACTCAAATAAAAGCACGATGGGGTATCTCTGAGTACTCTCTTCTGGCCTACTGCCCCTAGCAGTGAGATTTTCAATGCCTGGTGTTTGCAAACCTGGAGCTGCAATGTTCCCAGTGGCAGGGAAGGACGATAGCCCGTGCTGCCTGCACAATGCCCAGGGCTTTTGCAGAACACTGCAATGAAAGTCAGGCCCTGCAAAACCATGAGATTGCTGTAAGAATCAGGAGATTTTTAAAAGGGAGGTTTAAAAATATGACAAGTGGTTTTTATGGGAAATTGGGTCACTAATGCAGTATGCTTCTCTCCGCAGCTGTGATGGCTAAAGTTTTGAGTTGGGTGGGTAGGTTGGTCGAGGGTCTCTGGTGTGGTTATCTGCCAGGAGAGGGCTCTGCCGACCAAGGGTTCCCATGGTGTGCTCAGCCCTGCTCCCCGCAGCCCTCACCAGTTAAGCCCCCGGGTCTCTGAGCTTTGGCCAGTGTCCTTACCACCGCTGCGGCAATAGCAGCTGGCACGGACCAGGCTGGATGTTTAGGTGCTCAAGGGATGGTGAGCAGTCGGGCAGAGCCCGCGGCGCCCTGCAGATGTGCGTTTCTGAGCCAGCTGTTCTCCCATGCCTTCTGGCACGCTGCCTGGCAGTGGGAATGGCTGCAGGGGCTCTCCCTGCGTGCTACGCTTCTGGGTTTGCTAAGGTAAATCTCCCTTTATTGGGGTTAATGAGCAAGAGGACTCCCAACCTGGCCTATGGGCAGAGCTTTGTCATGCAGCCCTGCATGATGTCCCACTCAAGGAACAGACCTTTCTGAACAGAACTTGGGGTACCCTTATTTCTAGATATCTTTTTTTTAATATACTTATTTTTTCCATAAATACTAAAAGCATAAGTGCTCTAGACACAGTGATTGTATCTTCCATACTGAAATAAGGAAGGGAGAGTAGTGAAAACAAATAGAAAATTTACCAACTGACGTGTCCTCAGATTTTCACCTGGGGCTGGGCTTAAGCTTTGCTAAGCATCAAACTGATGCTATTAACTTTTCTAGTCATCTTGAATCTCCAGTCAGTGCTCCTTCGTGTCTTATATAGCGTGTGTATTTTTAGAAGACAGTCAGGTTTGGTCCATTTGTTGATAAACCGCTAGCCATAAAATAAGATTATTCAGCAAGCAGTTTATTCTGTGGCCCCAGTATTTCCTGTGAGAGCTGCTCCTGCATTCAGTAGTGCTTGAAGATGGTTGAAACCTGTGAAGATTGCCGAGGCTTTTATGTATTCCCCAAAAGCCGTAAGTCTATGATGGTCACGTCGGGGATGGAGAGGAGGTATCCAAGCACACACGGTCTGTCCCAGGCCACAGATGCCTTCTGTGCTGCTGAGGGGCATTGCATGGATGTCCTGTACCTTCAGGGATTGAGTTGTAAAAGGTGGGGAGGGTAGGAGAGGGCCATGACCGCATGTTAAATGTCTGTTGGTATGTGTGTTTGGTATTGCTGGAATACCTCATCTGGTCTGCAGTAATTGTTGAGGCATACCCGAGATTCACCTGTTACCATTGTGTGCGATTAGAGTTGAGGCTTGCTTTGTTGTTTGGCTGCTGAATAAACTTCCTAAATTGAGTCATGACTTTATGGGTGCCATATGAAATGAAGCAGATCATATGATGGGCATAACAGACTGAAAACCAAAATTGGGACAACAGAAATTTGAAAGGAAGAGCTGAGCTACTTTTTAAATGTGAAAAAGTAACAGTGGTGAAGGTAAACTGGAGCAGAACTGGTCCTACACAAATTCCATATACCTCTCTCTGGGCACATGGAGCAAGCGGATTTCTGTGTCGTCTGTGCTGGACTGGAAGAGCCAAGACATTTTCTGTATGTCCAACACTAGAGAATTCTGCGGACGTCGATGCGAATATTCCTTCTGACAATATGGCATCTGTGGGGATGTATGGAAAGGCCGGTGATACTTGTATGTGCTAGTAACAAAGCACCTCTTTTTTTTTTCTTTTTTTTTTTTTTCTTTCTTAGCTTCCTTTACAATCTCTCCTCGTACGGTGGACAACATCACAGTTACGATTAAACTGAGACCCGGTGTTTCACCAAGCTGTCAAATTCGTGTTAAAAATGTCATCAGGTCTGAACTCAAGATAAAGCCTGGGCAGAATGTGACTTTTACCTTCACTTGTAGTACTCCAGAGAAACATTTCATCATGGAAATTCAGAAAAATATTGGTAAGATTTGACACACACCCCCACCCCCCATGGTAATTTTCCTCCAGTAAAACCATGTATCGTTCTTCCTGTTACTGTATTAAGGTATCCCCTATAATCTTGGGTAAGAAGAAATCTCTGAACACTGATAAATAACCTTGAATTACTGAAACTATGCAAGTTAAAGAAGTATCTGTTATGGCTGGCAGAATTAATGTTAACTTGGCTGTTTCAGAAACAGTTAAATGATAGTTTGTTGCACCAATTCCTTGCTGCTTTCCCTTTTCCCACAGTTTATAAACCCATCAAATAATCTTTTTTCCTATCAAAAGCCTCTGAGCATTGATAATGATACATTACCCACATTGTTTGTTGAACAGATTGATTGTGTCTATAAGGACAATAGAAACATTGGCAACATGCACATGTTTCCTTATATTTAATGAACATTATTGAAGTCAAGAAACTGAAAATTTGGAAGTGTTGTAACTAAAGCTTCATTTGCTTTGAATGTTATCTCTGGTGTATATATGTTAATGTACTCTTTAGTGGCACGAACACATGCTAGTTCTCAACAAGATCCCAAACTTCATTGGGCATTCAGTCTTTGGTAACATCTTTATTATTTTTGGGGTGGTGTTCAAGGACAGTTCTCTTCATGTTTTGGAGTTTCAGTCATATGATTCATGCAAATAGTAATGTTCATGGTATTTCATGATATATTTGTAAGATGCACTTGTGATATTTCTTTGAAGTTGGAGCCTAGATATGGATTAAAGTTTGCTTATTTTTAGTGTCCAGCTTGAAATACCAGTAATTTGGATTGTTCAGATAAAAGTTTTTCTAAGTTCTCCCAGGAATCCTGCAATGGTAGTTGTTGTTACTCATCACTTCTGCAAAATCTGGGGCCCAGGTTATTCATCGGGGCACCAAGGAAACGAAGATACAGTTCATGGCAAGCACTAGAAAATTTAAAGACGAATGATTTGCCAGGAATTCTCCGAGTGAGATGGGTTAAGATCTTTTCTCTAGACCCATGATTTCCAGCTCTCCCGATATTGCATTTCTCCCTTTTGCCCATTCAGCGCACTACCCTATTTACTAAATACCTTCTAAATTCTTTAGCAAACAAGGCGGGAATACCAGAGACAATGAATCCCTTCTATTAGTCAGCCTGACTAAAGCAGGTTTATCCTGTCTACTCTATGGTACAATCCTGTTTATGGTATAGTCCTGTTTAGAGACAGCATGTGACCACGTTATAGGAGTGTCTTTTAATGCATGTAGAAGAGAAGTTAAGTGCAACCTAAAAATTGTGAAAATAGTGATGAAGGGGAAAGTGTCAAATTCCTCGTTTACTTGAATGCTTTCCAGAGTGTATCATGGCTGTTCTCTCTGTGCATTTAGACTGTGTGTCAGGCCCATGTCCCTTCGGAGATGTTCATCTTTACCCACCGGGGCTACCTCGCCTTAACAGGACTTTCATCTGGGACGTGAAGGCGAGTACAAAAGCTGGACTTGAACTGAAATTTTCTACCCCGGGGCTAAGACAGATTGAACCAGGAGAGATGTGCCCAGATTTCGTTAGCTACAACATCAATAGCTGTATCGACATGGCCACGGTCAACATTGGCACCTTCTGCAGGAATGGCTCAGTGTCTCGCGTCAAGCTGCTGGGAGGAGTTGTCATGTCTCTGCACCTCCCGTGGGACTCGCCTCTCACCACCTCAGGCTTCAACATAGCTAACAGGGCTTCCATAAAACGTAAGTAGGGAGTAGTGTTTCCTCACCTGTAATCACCTCGTGCAGATTGCAGGAGAATTATTTAAACCTTTCTTCTCGGGTAACCTTCTAGGTTTGGTGCTGCTGTCCCTAACTCCCTTCCACTTCATCTTTTCTAAAAGCTATTGTTGTATGGTTTTTAGTTTGGTAGCTGGTGCTCTTCTGGGGTCAAACCATCTTTGTTTGGTTAATAATTATGAAAACTGCTGCTTTTGGTGCACGTTACTCATTTTCTATCTCTTTAAACTTCCTAAAACTTAAACAGACCTGCTCTGTTGGTTTTGTGTTTTCAGCTAGTTGAGACTAGATAGCGTAATTAGAATGAGCCAAGAGAGTTATTTTCTGGTTGCAGTGTTTAGTTGGGCTTGTTTATTTTAAAACAATGCTTCCTTAATTTCTGGAGCCTCAAACCAATGCCCCTCTTGAGGAGAGGAAGGTGGGAAAGGGGGAAGCAGTGCCTAGAAGGCACATGAGGCTGCTTAAATAGAGCTATCTGTTTCAACCTGCACAGTAACATAAAACATTATGTAATAATCTTCTTAAAATACCTGGAATATTATATAGCAATCAGTGGGTTACTTTGCGGTCTCCTGACAAACCCTCCTTGGGAGATGTTCTTGCTCTCTACTTAAATTCTGCAGTTGTTGCTATCAGTTATAAAAGGAATCTGGTCCAGGTTTGAGCTTCTAGAACACGAGTTTTTCTAACTCCTGGCACTCCTCGCAGTTGCACATTGTCGCTGGAGTCCTAGAACAGGACCATAACCTCTGTGTACCCAACTTCATGCTGCCAAGAGGCATCCAAGCACAAAGTGTCTTACACAGCCTCCATGGTTTGCATTCATATTTTGTCATGCGTATTTGAGGCTCTTTGTTGGCGTGCTCTTGTTAGATCTGGGAGGTGTTTGGACAGAGAGCTCTGTGATGGTATAAAAGCTCACATCTTTTGTTTCCCGCAACCCAGTGAAACAGAAGCAGTTATCAGGTTGCGTGTTTGCTTTTGCAAAGTCAGGAGCAGAAGTAGGAACTAAGATCTTTCCTTTCTAAAAAATAAAGGCTTGTCTGTCCACGTGCTTGAAAGGTGAACCCACTAAACTAAAAATGCAGCATTAATATATCCTTACCTTTTCTGTAATAGAAGACAAAAGCATCAACTCAAGTATATGGTTTAGTATGAGGGTTTTTTAATAACCGAACCTGTAGCTGAAGTGGATGATCTCACTGTCAAAATAAAAATACTCTGCTGCTGGGGCGCTAGATATGCCAGCGTGTCTTCATTAATTGCCACTTGTTTTGTATGTTGTGTTGTCCCATCCGTCCCCCCCGCCCCCATTTTAGGGTTATGCATTATTGAATCCATTTTGAAGGGGGAGTCTTCAATCACCCTGATGTCCCCAAACTACCCACTGGGCTTTCCAGAAGACGAGCTCATGACATGGCAGTTTGTGGTTCCTTCCAACATGAGAGCAAGCGTGTTTTTCCACAACTACAGCCTTTCCAACTGCGAAAGGAAAGAGGAGAGGGTAGAGTACTACATCCCCGGCTCCCTCAGCAACCCGGAGGTGTTCAAACTGAGTGACAGCCAGCCTGCCAATATCGCTGGCAGTTTCAACCTGTCCCTCCAGGGCTGCGATCAGGATGCCCAGAACCCAGGCATCCTCCGCTTGCTCTTCCAAGTCGTCGTTCAGCACCCGCAGATTGATGAGAGTAAGTACCTGCCTGCCCCTTCTGTTGCTTTTGCTTACAGGCGCCTGGGCTGAGCACCACAAGGAAGAGAAATACTAGGTGTTTTGTCACTTTTCTTGGACCCTCCTTGAGTTTAAGGAGGTGGGTTGCCAAGCAACGCTGAGGCCTGTTTTACTGCCCTGGGTACCACCAGTCGTTGTTAGGGCAAGGTGGATGGCAATGCTAAAATTTGCATCCTTAAAATCTCGCCGCCTTCTCCTCCCCTCTCGCCGCCTTCTCCTCCCCTCTCGCCGCCTTCTCCTCCCCTCTCGCCGCCTTCTCCTCCCCTCTCGCCGCCTTCTCCTCCCCTCTCGCCGCCTTCTCCTCCCCTCTCGCCGCCTTCTCCTCCCCTTTCTGTTTGTTTTTTTCTGTTTTCTTGCCCCAAATTCAGACAGGCTTAACACAATGACTTGTAATACCACAGCATCTATCTAAAAACAGAAATAAAAGGCCTGGCTAGGTAATGAGCTATGCAATAAGTGATTTATCTTCTGGCTTCTTAGCTCTGACCTCAGTTCATGGTGGAGGATAATAGTCAAGGTGCCCTCACTGCGGAGGAGCAGGTGGAAGGAAGTACACACTCTGGACTATCACTGCAGCAGGAGCTCCATCTAAGTCATTTTAGAGGGAGTGAAGTTTGAATGGCCTGTACCTTGAAGTCATGTATCCAGAAAGGGTCTGTAGCATCTCACCACTGTAATCCTCAGTTCTTTGTCTAGTCTGTTTCCATTCATGAACAGCAAATCCTCCTGAAATTGTTAATCAAGTCATGTTTGCTTACATTTATTGTGTGTTGCACCTTGGAAGCCAGAAAGAGTGAAAACATTGTATTCAGTTAATCAGCTTTATCTCCCTTCTACTTTGGAAAGCATAGAGGAATTTTAATATATTTATGGCCAGTAGACAAGGTGATAATCACCTAAAAAATAAAAAACAGGTTGTCATTTATTGAATGAAATGCAGGTAATAAACCACTTGGATTTAAGAGACAACAGGATTTACAGGATTTCATGAATGATTTTGTAGTTATATAAGTTCCATCAAAGATTCAAATTTAGCCCTCAAGACAGTATTGAAACTATTATTTAAAAAATAAAACAAAACAACCCCAAAAATGCCATCTGCAGTGGGCAAGTTAAACACGGCTGTTATTGAAAACGTATTGGTATCTGTATATTCTCAAAGATTCCCAAACATTTGGGTATTCCACAGCTGTCTGTGGTGCTTGTCATTAGAGGAAAATATAGCTCTTTCCAATCAAAATTTCTTGACCTAGCCCTCTGTGTTTAGCTGCCGCAAAAAAACCAAACCTCTGGAGAATGAGTAACCTTGTGGTAGAAATCCTAAGTTCTGTGCTTGGTTGTGGTAGTGACTTGGAGATTTATGCCTGACCTCTTGCATTTTTGTGTGTCTGATTTCCCACACAGGAGAAGGCTATTTTATTCACCTTTTGTTTATGCCTTTGAGATCCATAGCTAAACCCAGAAAATTAAGAGTAATAATAGTGTATATATTTTTTAAATTTTTTTTAACCTGTCCTTTATAGAATCAAAGAATCACAGAATGGTTTGGGTTGGAAGGGACCTTAAATATCATCTAGTTCCAACCCCCCATGGGCAGGGTCACTTTCCACTAGATCAGGTTGCTGTCTTTGACATCAGAGACGTGTGCCTTTGTTAACAGCATACTCTGCGGACCCAATGTCTATCTTTGCACATGATTGTTAATCTTTGTGAACTAGGCTACAGCCATAACCTTCAATTTTTTTTTTCCTCTTTCCTTTTGTGTCCCCCTTCCAGATGTTGCGACTATTTGCAACTGCTGTTAGCTTACATGGGAGGTGGTGTTTGTCATCCCTGCTTACCCCTGTTGTTCTGATTTGCTGTAGCAAGTCATCTAGGATATCACAGACTTGCAGAATGGCTGAGGTTGGCAGGGACCTCTGGAGATCATCTAGTTCCAACCCTCTGCTCAAGCAGGGTGAAACAGAACAGGCTGCCTAGGACCACATCCAGTTGGGTTTTGAGTATCTCTGAAGACTTTACAACTTCTCTGGGTAACCTCTCCCAGTGTTTGACCCCCCTTACATTATTTTTTTTTTTTTTTTAATGTTAAGGACATTAAACCACCAGGACCCTCAGGTCTTTCTGCAAAGCTGCTTTCCAGCCCCAGTCTTGCAAACTTGAGGGTGCGCTCTCTCTCACTAGTGAAAATGTTAAGCAGTTTTGGCCTCAGAACATGTCTCCTTAAGCAGATCTTTGAGCTGAATCTCACTATTTGAGAGAGAGTGCCAGGGATGATGGTCACTGTGTGCGCATGGGCATCTCAGCTCCAGCAAGCTCGGAGGGCATTACAAGGCTTCGGGCAGCAGACTGTGTGCTGTGGGGTACGTGGAAAGGGGCGGAATGCGAGAGAAGTCATAGCTAGTGTTGAGGAACGGGAAGGTGCTCTTTACTTTTCAAGGTTAACTCTGCCAGCTCTCAGGCTTGCTTTTTACAGCTAGTCAGAAAATATTTCTGGAAGAATGCTTTTGAGCAATTAAATGGAAGAGCAGTGTGATAATTCAGTCATGCCATTGAAGGAAACCAAGCAGCCTAGCAAGGCATGGTCCTCAGCCTTCCCACCAGCATGGTGACAGACTTTGATAACCTGTGATAATTTTCTCTGTATGTTTTGAACTGCCAAATAGAAAAAGCTTTTAGGAAGTGTTTTTGAAGGCTCTAGTGACCTTCATAACAACTGCCAGCACTTCTGCTGAAGTACAGTACTTGGCAGTTTTTTCGCTTTTGAACCATATTGGTACTTGCGTTTAAATTAGCTTAATCTTTAACTGACTCCAGACAACCAGATGTGCTTAATTACTGACTTTGGACAATTTTCTTCAGCTTGGCTCCAACAAACCTAAACTGACAAAAAGTTAGCTGAAATGGAAATCTAGCAATAAATATGAAATTTGAGAATGGAGAACCTTTTCCTAATCAACTGCTGTGTGATCAGTAGAACTGACTTTAAAAGAAATACAGAAATTTCTTAGGTAAAACAAATCTAACATAGTTGGCTGAGCTCCTTACATTATAGCCTAACCTGTTCACAAGGGGCTAGTGTATGTGTTACCCTGTTACAGCTGGGAAGTGATAGGGAAACAGGGTTTGTGTGTGGAAAGGCTCAAATTAGAAGAGTGATATGATGCTGCCTTTCCACTGATGGAAAGAATAAATAATATTTTCTTAGCTAATATAGAAATAGCTATAACAGCTGCTCATCTGATGGGGTGAGAAGAGACGGAGGAAGTTCTGCTTCACGCCACGCTTCTTGCCAGTAATTGCTCTGGGATGTTTTTCTTTGCAGATGTCACCCATTTGGTCGACCTGAGCAAAGAGTGGAATATGACTGTAACGATACACTTCGAAGGGTGGCCCAGACACGTCCCGCTCATGTCTGAACCAATATGCCTGATCTGTAAGGATCCTCGCACCTGCGACCGCGTCTTGACTTTAGTGTCTGGCACGGTCTACAAGATCTCCTTTCTGTGCAAGGACTTGTCCCGTCTGAGGATCACAGCTGAAAAAGGCATAAGTATGACAAAAGTGTCTTAATGTTGTTTCCTAGGGAATGCTTTTGCCTGCTTTTCCCCAGCAGTCAGCCAAACCTTCTCTCTTGCTTGGGCTTTAAATAGAGTGTGGTTGGAAACCAGGCATTGGCCAGCAGCAAGATGGGTACAGTGAATCTGGAGATGGCCTTGTTCGCTATGTCATTCTACCTTTAAAAATAGAAACTGCGTAGCTATCCTAGAAGGCAAAGGACAGAAGGCACCTAAGCATCTTCTTGCTGAAAACTGCAAAGTAAGGAAACAGAGCAGGAGAGCCATAAATCTGCCCATGAAAATGCAGGACCAAGGTGGCCATCAGGAATGCATCTTGTGCCGTTTGCATGTCCACTTGGTGTAGGATTTTCCCAAATGCTTTCAACTACTACTAGAGAAAGAGTTTTAAAGTATATATTTGGACCTTGGTTAGTCTGCAACAGTGTTCCAGTCAGCAAGTGACATAGCAAAAGTAGTATCAAGTGATGGATTTTGAATATGTTTGTATCTGTTGGTTTCTTTGGTGTCCTGCACCCTTTCAAGGAAATATCTTTAAATATAAATGATACATGTTTGGGTAAAGGTTACTAAGAGAGGAGAGTTTCTCAGGTAGATGCTTATCTGGGTCTGTAACGCAAAACTGACAGTACTCTCTGTGTGTGTGTGTGTGTGCGCGCGTGCTCTGGTCCACAGGAAAACTTGCTTTTCCTAGATATTTCATCTGCAAGAAAAATACAGCCCTTGGTATTTGTTTCTGTGATTGTAGGCTGTGTCGATCTTCGATGGTGTCAGAGGAAGATCTATTCCCTTTCAGTGCCCAAGGCTATTACGCAACTGCCAATTCGACTGCATAAGTTTATTTGGAAGCTCTTGGCTCCCGATCTGATCAACATAGAAATTACATCTCCATCCTTAAAACTTCAGCAACACGTCCCAGAGCAGAGGTGCAACACAAGCTATAGTTACAGCATTGCTAGTGGCACCCCAGAGACAGAGTTGAATGTTGGTGTATTCTGTCCTGGTGGATCCATTGAAAAGATTCAGATGAGGAATAATATCACCATATCCTTAAAAACATTTAGTAAAGGATTCCTCAATGAGTCTAACCATCAGGATCTGAAAATGTCTTTTGTGCCACATATTAAAGGTAAGGTAGTGGTTTGTACTACTTTGTTGTACAGTGTTGGATCTCTCTATGCTTGTTGGAGCACATACGGATAAATAGAAATAAGAGTTCAGTTCTTTAGAGTCTAGTCCTGGAGCCATTGCTAGGATCAATCTTTATCTGAATCAGTGCAGTGTTTTATTCCTTGAAGGAGGAAGGAGCTTTGTACTCCATGTGGTAGATAGTTGGTTGTTGGAAATTCTGCAGATACATCTGTGCTAATTGTGATAATTACTGATGTGGAAGGTATGAGAGGTGAGTTGTATTGTCAGCACTGAGATGCAGTTGGGTGTATTAATTTGCTGGTCACAGGTATGAGTGATGCTTTTTTTATTATGGAGAAGAAGGACCAAATAATTTTATGTGCTACAAGAGAAAGCTTAAAAAAAAAAAAAGTAACTTTCAGACCTAAGTTTTCCTTCCTTTATTTTCCTTTACTACAGATGAGTGCACTTTCACTGTGAGTCCAGATCCAAAAGCTAAAGTTTACTTGCAGACTCCTAACTGGCCTTATGGTCTACCTCCTTATGTCTCCATATCCTGGTACATCTTGGTGCCCAGCAAGCAAGTTGCCCGCCTCGGGTTCTCCAAGGACCGCATGGGCGTTGCTTGTGAGACAGGCCGTGCCTATGTCAACATAAAGGAAGAGACATTGGGGGCAGAGGAGACCGTGTGCCGTGAGGATGAGTTTCTGCCCGAGCCCCGAAATATGTATCACAACTTTTGGGTAAATGTCTCCAACTGTAAACCTGTGGATAAGACGCAACTGACCTTGCAGTTCTGGGTGACTTTTGCTGACAAGCAGATAGGTAAGTCCTGTAAGGTTGTGGTGGTTTGCTTTCTGCTTGTTTCCTTGCTTTCCCTTGGGGCAACAGTAATGGGTGCTGGTCCTCCTTGGGTGTGGGGTTTATGAGATCCTGGCCTTTGGAAATACCTGTCCCTCAAAAACCTCTGAGAGTTACACCTGGGTACTTCTAGAAGCTGGGAGGGAAGGAGGGGCTTTAATGTGGTGTTTTTTTGGGGGGGAGGATTTTTGTTTTGTTTTGGTTTTTCTGAGATGGGGGATTCCAGGGCTCTGGGGGAGTAAGACTAGATTTTATTTTTTTTAATTTAATTTAGCTTTTTAAATTGGACGTCACAGCCAGAACATATAAGAAGATCAAGTGATGTTTTTCCCTCCCAAGGTCACGGACCTGGTGAACGACCTGGGATTTGATTATGCAAACTTATTCATCCAAGTAGCCCTTACTTCATGTTAGCAGTTAGATTAGTCTCAGTGTTTGCGTGAGCAAGAAATCACCCCTGGGACAGGTCTGGCCGTTTAGTGGAGAGTGCCCTGACTGCTAACAGCAAAATCAGCATTCTTGTTGTCTTTCATCTCCCTGAAACATAAATAGTTTTTAAAAAAAGGGGGGGGGGGCATTTTTAGGGTAGGCTTTGCTTATGTAAATTTGCTTCACATTTGCACTTCCTCTTCACCTGTGGGAGACTGCTGTCTGTAGAAATATTGGCTACATAGGCTAGAACTGAAACAGTATCAAATTAATTTCCAATTTTTCCTCTTTTTTTTCTTTTTTTGTAATGGATACTTCTTTTAAAACACGTGGCATTTTTCTTTCCCCACTCGTGGACTTTCCAGATCAATTTTGCGACTCCTAGAAAACCCCAGGTCAACACAACTGGTGTATTTCAGAGGAAGGGATGGTATTGAGGGGAAGTTGGTGAAATGTCACTATTTATATTTACTCTGTTGAATCCCTCTCTGTCTCTCTCTGCACTTTCTTCTCTTCCCTGCCTATTCAGCCAGAGGCACGTGAGATGCTGAGGGTAAGTTTAGCAGTGCATGAGCTGTATTGAACTCTTGGAAGTGGGGTGGGTTGGTTGGGTTTTTTGGTTGTGTCCACTGCTAGCAGCAGGAGTTTGTCATTGCTTGGCCTCCAACCTCTTGGAAATGGCTTGTGTTGTCCTGTGGCAAGAATGACTCGGAAACTCCCGCTCTGCGGGTAGCTAGTATGCTTAGAAGCCCTTGAGGAAGTTCAAACCGAGACAGCTTTTAGGAGAAAGCTGGGTGTTTTCTCTCTTGCTCAGTGTCCTTGTACCTTGTCTGTTTGCAGACCTAGGAGTCATACTTGCTGTGGTGGCTGGGGCTGGAGTTCTCACAGCTATTGGACTGACTGTGTGCTGTGTTAAGAAGAAGTAAGTTCATAATTCAGCATGTGTAACTTAGAAGTTCAAGAAGGCATTTTGGGAGAGCTGGGCCCTCTGTTTCATGTGTTGATATAGATCCCTTGAACAAGGGTCTGAAGCATGAGGTAGGCAATGGTAGTGGAAGTAATATGACTCCGGGAATGCTGCTTTACTCTAAATTGACTGACTTGTAAGAGCAGAGCAGCATTCCCTGAGTCACATTACTTCAACCCCCAGTGCATTGCCTACCTTGGCCTTAGCACAGGCTTCTGGCTGTACTGTACGGTATTGGTTGGACTTCATCAGCAATTCCTGCAAAATGAAATTGCAATGAATGTGGCTGTTGTGAGTGTGATTCTGTAAAAGACCATTCAAACAAGCTGTAAACTCACCCAGATACACTAGGAGCTATCTTTCGTCTACACAACAGAACCTCCAGCAACTTCTCCTGGAGTTTGCACATCACGTGGGAGCATTTTTCTGTGACATGAGCCCTTGGGGAGAGAACTAGGTTGTGCAAAACAAACATGCATAGCATTACTCATGCAAGCAGAGTCTGAAGTCGTCAATAGCTTGTGGTTTCTGATACATGTATGCTTAGTGCTGGCAGGGTGATTGGGTCCTGAAGCCGTTGAGCTGGAATGAATTTGTGCAATATGATGACTAGAGCAGTTATGAGCATGCTTCTTTTGCCACACAGGAAAGACTTTACAAATGCAGGCTTAAAAATCTTCAGTTCAGCTTTTGGTCTTTCCACTCTGGGGACAGTCGCTCCAGAAAGTGCAACCAAGAAAAGTCATTCAGCTTTCATAGAGGACCCACTATCTTACTCATCTTCAGTAACGTTCAGCCTTGTTTTGTGAGGCTCTGATGGCCTCTGGGTCCTATTAATGTCCGTGGATATTGGGAGACTTGGTACACTGCACAGCTGGGACCCCTGGTGCTTGGGAGGCCATTGGTGTTAATCTTGCAAACTTCAGGGTCAGCAGAGCAGCAGTAGGTAGCCAAATAGCATGAAGTTATTTTCTGCTCTGTTAAAAAAAGCACGTCTAGACTTGGGAGTTATTCTTCCTAAGATTGCAAGTAAAGCCTTCAATCCAGGCAGACTGCCTGACACTGGGTGGCTGGGATGGGTAAAATGAAGCTGTGTTGAGTTCAAATGTACCAGCTGTGTATTGTTTCTGACCTGTTAACAATTTCAACTCTGTAATAGGAAGAAGAAAAACCAGAACCCCATGGTGGGAGTGTACAATCCTAATGTGAATACCCAGGTGCCTGGGAAACAAGGTTTATTCACAAAAGGGAGGAAAAACAATGAGTCTCATGTCTATGCAGTTATTGATGATGCTATGGTCTATGGGCACTTGCTGAAGGAATCCAATGGCTCAGTTGCTCCAGAAGTTGATGTATACCAGCCTTTTGATGGACCCATTGGTAGCTTGCCACCTTCTCCACCTCCATTATACTTCAGAAAAGACGTTAAACACTCTTCTAATGCTGAGGAACCTCCACCTCTGATGGACACAGACCATGACACTTACACATTTGCTCATCAGAAATCAGGGCAATCGGAGGACAGTGGAGATACAAATGAAAAGAATAACAGAGATATGAGCGTGTCCTTGCTGGAAAATAAGGAACAGGATGGTTTAGTGGAGTAATTTTACACCAGGTATAGCAGTTTCCTGTGGAAATACAGGTGTAAGGACAGGGGTCTAGGAAAAAAAACTGAAGAGGAGTGTTATTTTTAAATGTGTTTTGATGATGTTTTGTTTTGTGTGTTGTCTGTTGTTTGGTTTTGTGGTTGTTTTTTTTTAAAGTTCAGCTGTTGATAGCTTTCAGTTTTAGAGTGAACGTCTAGCAAACTCAAAACCAGTTGAGACGCAGCAGGACTGCCTGCACTTCTGGTTGCAAAACAGGTGGCAAAGGTATGCTTCTGCTTTTTATTATAAAGACGTCAGGCAACTGAATTCCTAACTGCCAGCTTAAAAGTGTGGCAATTAATAGAGTGGGGAGAGTGTTTTGTCCAGTATTTCCTCCTCTCACAAGTCATTTGTTCCTGGGTGTTAGTTGGTGAATCTTGGAAGACATAGGCTACATTGCCGTCTCAAGGCAGCTCCAGGTTGCGGAGATGCCTAAGCAATCTGCTGATGTCTGAGCAAAGGAGGGGATGCTGTCATTTCTACCACTTGCTGCTTGAAAATTCATCATATTTAGGATGCTGGTGGCTATTAAGTGTAGTGAAAAACCATTTATGTTGCCTGGAAGAGCTCAGTGAGTGTAAATCAGTGTGAACACTTGAGCTTGGGCTCTTCTAGTTTGGAAGTAAAGGTACAGGTTTTCTCTAATTTCCAACTGATGTTGTTATACTTGGATAGCACTGTGTGAACCTACACCAAAGACTGTATTTTCTTTGATTTTTTACAAAAATGGTTTCAAAAGTCTAAAGCAATTTGCACTTCTGTTCAGATACCTGTAGCATTCACATTTTACTAATATCTTGTGCTTTTGGTTCAAGTAAGAGTAAGGATTCAGTGAAGAAATGATGATGTGATAATCCAGCTGTTTACTAATGCTTTTCACTTCACCTGTTAGAGATACTTGGTTATTTAATAAGGATTAAAAAAAGGGGTAAAGAAAATAGTTTGTTTCCAGCAGGCAGTTTCTCTGAAATGCAAAGAATGAGAGTGAATCCATAAGGAAAGCCTAGATTTTTTGGCTTTTTTATCAGTCTGAATTTAACAACCATGTTGAAATGATGCTGGGGACAGCTCTCGACTTATAGTGGGACTTACACTTCAGGTGTCTAGCAGCCTTTGAAAGACACCTCTTGAAATCAGATAAATAATAGGTCTCACTTTTAAGTGCAGTAGTTAGCATGCCCCTCAGTTTCTGTGCCTTTTAAAACTTGAAGGTCGGATCTTTGCGCAGAGGACTATGGCTGTATGAATAAAGTTGCCTTTATATACAAACATCTGGCTTGTCCAGGTGTGCAGTTACTGAGGATGTCTGCAAATTTGCGTGCAGCACTAGACTCGATGACTTGAGAATTTCTCTCCAAAAGTCTTACTGTGACTGTTTCTTGCCTAGTGATACACAGGTGCCATAAAACTTTCAGACACTGTTGCATGCAATCATGTTAAACATATAATAATGTCTAAAATTAAAATGTCTTTATTAGAAACCTTACTGTTTACATTTAAAATAAATGCGGACTTCTTCCTGTGTTAACTATGCTGGCATTGCAAATTGGCTATTTATGGTCAAGTATGTGTATTTAAGAAAGTATATCGTTGTACTGCTTGGACTTCTGTAAGATTCAGTATAATGTCGTATCGGTCTCAGTTTTCTGTAGCATATAGCAAAATGCATGCCAGCTAAAAGCACCTATTAATTGTTTCAGGTATTTTCCTGCTTATGTTTATCACTTTTAATATAGAAATGTGTATTCCTAGATATCTGGCTAGTCACCGGAACTGCATATTTCAAAGTGTACTGTGTCATTTTATTGCCATTTGAGAACTTAAAAAGATTTCTGCAATACTGATACCTGTTTTTCTCAGGTAACTGAATTGCCGCAATACATTTTTATCAGAGTAGTCCAGTTATGCATTTGGTCAATGTTTCTCACTTCTCTTTTATTGGAAAGGAATGAGAAGTCTGCAAGGGAAATTCAAGGCTGTCTCATCTCTCTAGCTCAGTTTCTGCAGTTGCTTAGATGAAATTTTTTAGTTCTTCTTTCTAACCACCTGAAGAAAATGTAATGGAGATCAGGCTTTTGTTCACAACCGTTTGATCTTTGAAGGAAGAATATGATGCTTGTTGACTGGTATTTTTATTTGTTCTATTTTAACTCAGCTGTTGGCATGGCAATATAAACTGTAGTTCACAGTTGTTTCCAGTCTAAGGTTGACTTTCACTGTGCATATCTTGGTATGTTTAGAGTAAGAGTTCAGGCACAAATTCCAGTTTGCTTTTCATTACGAGAAAGTTGTGACTTTTTAGAAAAATAAATAAAATATAATCATACTACCAGCTGGAATAACTAGTGCATGTCTTTCGTGTGTGTGTGTGTGTAAACTCAACCTCGAGTATTTTGACGTCTGACTGTTGATAGCTATGCCATCTCCCTGGACGACAGAAGCTGGTTTCTAGAGAATCTAGTTTGCCAGGATAATATACTGCTGACTGTGCATGTCCTTTTTCTCACATAGCCTGTGATATGCCATTAATTGCTGTTTTTAAAGGCATGTGTTTAGATTGTTGGGGAGAAGTGTTGTAAAATATTTGAAGATTTCATATGAAAATAAATGGCTCAGCGGCTTCTCAGTAGGGTTGTGATGTTTGTAAATTATTCATGCCCAAATGACACATACAATTGAATTCCAAATTAATTTCTTTTCAGTGATAATAGCATAAAAGTACATTTTATGATTTGTTCTTCAGCCCAGAAGAGACCTTTATGAAAAAGTGTGAAGCCCTTTTTTGTTGTAAATTAAAGTGCATGGAATCAGTTCATACCGACTGCTTTCTTGGTTTATTTTTGTATTTGTTTTGAGGCAAGCTTAATGCACATAGAAAGTGATGTTTGAAATCCTCACTACTGAGGATCCCGGTAATTGCTGGGAGTGGATCCTAGGCTGAATTAGTCAGATCCACTCTTGGAAGGCATAGGAGACTCAGCAAAGATCAGCCAGTCCCTAGGCCTTCTCTGAAATTTGCACTTAATGTGAATGTAAATGAAAGTACTTGTCATTTGGGTCTTCACTGAGATTGTGCCATCCTGGAGTAGTTCCTGTGCAGTGGTCTTTATCTAAAAATGAAAATTTCTAAGTCTAGTCAACCATTAATTGAAAGGTGGGTGTCCATAGGAGGACAGCAGTTCAGAAACTCCTGAACCGAATGAAATTTGCTTTTGACGAGCAAAGAGAAGTGGAGGGTTTTGTTGCCCAAAGCAGCAAAGCTGAAAAGATAATTCTTGCTTCTTGGGCTTGAATCTGTGAGGTTTGGAGAATCTCGATCTATCAAAACACTCAGTAATTGCTTTATTTTTAAGCATGTACGTGAATAGTCTAGTACAACTTCCAGATAAATCAAAAGCCAAGTTATTAGTCTTTGGATTAGAGCAAAACTTGTAGAGCACCGTTAAGGAATGAAAAGGTTGGGTTTGTTGTTGTTGACACCAGACTAATATTGAGACTTCAACTCCTTGACCTTGGGGGGGGTGGGGAGGGAATCATGTTGCTCTGAAGAAGCTATCCTGGGATACCTGTGAGTGTGACAGAGAATACATTAAAGTATGTGACTTGCTGGGGGACAGGGAGGAAGCAAAATGCTGAATAACCCTCATCCATGTGCACATCTTCACCAGCCAGCATCTAATTGCAGGCTGCAGTGTACACAAAGATGGGAACAAATCTGTCTCCCCCAAAACTTTGAAGCCAGACACTAAAAAAAAAAAAAAATTATAGGATTCATTCCTTCAGTATAAATGGCTTTCTACATCCAACTTAGTGATTGGTTTATCTTTCATAAAGTATAGCGTCCCAGCAATTAAGTAAGCATGGGTTACCTAATTTTCTTTGAAACCGAGGAATTCTGCCATGGAAAACTGATCCAGCCTGGAGGAAGGGACAGTCTTTTTACAGGGACTTAGAAACTTCTGGCATGTTGTTCCATCAACGCAAGTGAAGCATGGCAAATTGTTTCAATTAGCAACACTCCTAAGACATGAAAGGGTTTGGGGTTTTTTGTGGTTTAGGGCTGCATCCATCTCTTGTGTTAAAGAATTGCTACACTGCTGCACACAAGTCAGGCTTTACGCTTCTGGGCAAGATGAATCTTCGAAAACTGAAGGAACTGCTTTGTTTCTTGCTACATTTGTGTGTGTGTCTATTTTATATACAGATATGTGTATTTATCCTGGTACAACTGCTACGGTCACTTATAGCTGTAGAAAGAGTGCCATGATGCATCCTGTCAAAAATGCTCTAAAAGAGCAATACTCGGGCAGCACACAGCACCTTTTCAGACATGAGGCTAGAAAAATGGCCTTACTTTCTGAAAGGTGTTTTCTCAGAAGAAAAATGAGGGGAAAAGTTCTGGTGATCTTTCCAGCAAAGCTATTTTATTTTTTTCTAACTGGAAATGATTTGATTTCAGGAAGTATTGTTTAGAAGAAATGAAATGGTCTGTGTAAAGTATGTACTCCCTTTTTTTTTTTAAAATTTTATTTCATTGTCAGCGTAGAGCTGAACTTTGATATTGCTCACCAAGGAGAACATCTGTCCTACACACACGGGTGCAACTCTGTGCTGAAGGGAATGGCGGTCTGCTGGAAGGATGGAGGCGAGTGCCACTTGACTCTCTCAGGAGCCCTGGGCATGGTTTTGCCTGAAGATGGTATAAGGATATCCTGAACCTTTGCCACTGTGGGAAATGTATCCCTGACTTTGATCTTTATTTTAAGGGCAAAAAATGACGGACAGAGCCCATGCAGACAGCTTCCTCCTCACATGAGATTAATCATGGCAAGGCACCTATTAGGTACGTGCGTATAAATCTAGTTTTCTGCACAGAGGAACCTGGCCTTAAATGAGATTCATTGCTTGGCCTCAGGAGTATGAACTGCAGGCTCCTGAGCCCAATTGTTTTAGCATCT